TCTGGAGGGCTGTAAGTTTCCCACCTCTGATTGAAACCATGGTTGAAAAATGAGTAAGCAAGTGATGGTGTAGAGCTGTTTCTCTGCTTTAGTTTTCTGTCTTCTCAGCTTCATATGTTCCTAAGCAATCCCATCTCACTGGTGCAGTAACCTCCAGAAGCAGGACAATAGCTAAAGTTGTTTGTCAGACAGACGCTCTACTAAACCATAGTTAATTCAGGTTGCTGACACTAGTTTGCCAATTCACATACCACAGCAAGCCGTAATTGTAGCCCTTAACTCAGTTTTGGAGTGATGTCTCAATGGAGCCAGCGAGTCTTCCTACCAATTGCTAACTCCATTTATTTAAAATAAATAGACCAGCATACTTGCTATAGGAAACATTACTTTTTAATAGATGCCGAATGTAAGACTTCCTTGTGTTAGTTGCTAGAATATCCTGTCGTGTCTTCTCTTCACAGTAATATAATTTGCTATATTTTAAAAAATGGCAGCTGATAGTAGCAAGTTTCTCAGGATGAACGAAAGGATACAAATGAAATGTTGTGTGCAGCATGCTATTATAAAATAGAACTTTGCTGGATTGTCGTGTATGCTTCATTTGCATATTAAGGATGAATGTGTATGAATATTATTGTTACTACAAATTGTTACTACTTTTGCACAGTGTTACTTATCTGAGATCCTTTTCTTCTGCTCCTATTGACAATTTGGTCCTTGAAACAACCATCTTCCTAAACTAGTTTTTAACTTCTTAAACTAGATGTTTTGGATATGATTGATGTCCTTGTGGAGGGCAGTGAAGGCTTAAATGAAGAAATTGGATTTACCTTAAACGAAGACATGATTGTGAGCACGTTTCCATTCAGTGCTGTTGTCCCAGCATCCTTAGAAGCCAGGAATAAGTTGCTTCTCGAAGCTGATGAAAATGCAAGAGGTATTTATTTGCTACTTTTTATTTTAAATGCCTAATGCTTAATAATATTTGCCGAGCTTTCCTCTGAGTTCTCATTAGGAATATGAGTTTTGGTCCTCATGGATGAAGCTTTAAACTGCAGGGTCGCTGAAACACACTTACTGCTTTGTGGGGATTCCCTACTTGCATCTTTAATGTCCCATATGTATTTTTAAATGTACATCTTAGATGCCTAGGAAGTTCATAAATATTTGTGTCTTTAAACTAATGTCTTAAAATTATGTCTTTAAACATCGTTTCCAACTCCGGATCCTCCCCCAACACCCCAAGTTCAAGGTTTGCATGGCAAGTTGAACAACACAGAGATCTGTGGGATGTTTAGCACAGTGGTGATGAGCTAGTGATTGGGAGCCTGCTCATTGACTCCTACTCATTCACAGCAATCCACAGTTTGAGAAAAAGTGTCAGGATTTGGGGAAAACATCATCTTCTGTATGATGGAATGAAGAGTGATTGTCCTACCTTTTTTGTGAAGGAAAGTTATAGTAGCACATAGGCACAAACATCTCCTGTCAGCTCATAGAGGTTTACTAGTTGGTTTGGCCCTTTTCTAGGAGTCTAAACATTGAAAGCAGACAGCAGTTTTGATTGTACTTGCAGTCATTGCTCAGGGAAAGAAACTATGTCAATGACTTGAAACTGTGAAGTGAAGTAGTCCAGTCTGGTTTTCACTGCTGCAGACTGAATCCTGCCTATTTCTTAAGGGCTACATTAGATTGGATTGAAATTGATTAATCTAAATCCTGTTCTAATTAAGCCTATTTTGTAAGAAAAAAAGAACCAGGAGGGAACATTGAAGTGGAATCTGTTTAGGATTTTCCCCAGCAGAAAATCCTGTATATGAACAGTGTCTATTTCTCAGGGAACTTGCATGGCTTGACATTTTAAGAAGCATTGTCATAAACCCACTCAAAGTCTTCACATAACTCCTAAGTACTACAAATAGTGTTCTGGATGGAGGCATGCCTGAAGTAATGTGGAATATAGTTCTTATGCTGGATGGGTCCTGAAAAGTTTCCATTCGTCTCACAATGCCATAGGGTTTTCACAAGGTCTTGAATTGCTCGGGAGTGTGGGTGCTTTAAGCCATTGAATCAGCACTGACATTTTCCAGGGCTTACATGCTCAGTTGAGTTCAGTATGTCTACATAACTTCTCCTTTAAAAACAAAAGTTATGATACCACAGATGTATTCATATGAGAAAATCCTTATTTCCTCCCTGAATGAGGATATTTGATCATGTTCTGTGTATTTGGCTTTGCCAATATTCTAGTGTCAGAAGCCAAAAGACCCAATCTGGTTTCTTTTTTTCATCTGAACAGGAGAAAGCATAGTGGAGTATCTCATTGCCATTTACACTGACCTCCTACATTCTCAGAGAGACCCCTTGGCCCTTTGTTTGATGTTTCAGCAATATGATAAAGAGCTCCCGTCTGTCTGTCCTCAGCTCTATCTCTTCAGGCATTACTACAGTCTTTGGATACCACAGCAAGCTAAGGAAACCTTGGTAAGTGACACAGAAAATGGAATATGCTTCGTTTGGTAGTAATTCACATTTTAGCTCCATATGCAAGGGAACTGTGACTCCAAATATATTGCCCACTGGTTTGGTTATAGTATTTGAACTTCTGTCTCACTGGCATCTCAGTATGCACGTGTATGGCGTCTTTTTTCCTTTTGTGAGGAACGCAAGACAGCTTACAGAGCTCCACTGTATCATCTCAACCGTCCTGTGAGGAAGGCTAGGTTGGCAGTTTGTAACTGGCCCAAAGTCACCCAGTGAGCACCTGGGTCTCCAGTGCAACTCTCTAACCACCAAACCACTCTGGCTTTCGTATATGTTGGAACTGTTTTTTTGTTTTATTTTGAAAAGTTGTGCCCTGCGTTCCTGTTACAGTAATACTCATACTAGCTTACAGTAAAAACACAGAAATACAATATCAAAGAACCAGTGTTAAAATTACATATTTACTACAGTTGTAATCAGCAAAAGGCCACATGATGAAGAAACAAAATATTATTTAAAGCACACAATTCCTTAAAAGTTAGCTTAAGAATAAGTTGCTTTACCTTCTGATGAAAGACTGAAAGGGAGGAGGTGAGTGAGAGGAATTTAGCAGTATCACCACTGAAAAGCCCTGTCAAGTAGGTATATCTCAAGAAAAGCAAACAGGGAGACACAGGCAGGGAAGTTCAACAGGAACCAGAATTAGATTGTCAATAGCATGATTTCATGCTAGCCTTCACCAACCCTGTGCTTTACAGATATTTTGGACTTCATTTTCCACCAGCCACAGTTGGTATGGGCAATTGTCAGGAATTCTGGGAGTTGTGGTTCATAACTTTTGGAAGATGCCAAGTTGAGAAAAGCTGTTTTATGCTTATTCCATTTTGTGGTCCTCATCAGTGCCATAGCTCAGGCATGGATGATGTTCCCTCAGTTATCTTTAAGAGTGTTTTTGTATTTGTTTTTGGTTTTAAAACAGTTCCAGCAAGGGGAAAACATGTGCAAAGATGAATTCCTGCCATCAGATCCCTCATTTTCCACCCTGCTGAAGAATACTTACCAGAAAGGTGTTGTTGGTTTGTTAGAAGTGACCATGAAAGAGAAGTTAAATGAAGCTATTTTGCAGCTTCAACCTCAGCAGCTTTTGTTGGCTTCAAAGCATGTTCTGCTTTACCTAAAAACCACAGTGGAAAATTTCAGCAATGTAAGAACTTTTGTGCTTTCTCCTGTACCTTTTCCTAAGCAATCTTTGCCTTTTGTGATCCCAGTCACAAATTTCTTACTCCCTCTTCACACATTTATATGGCAGTAAGCCTGTGTTTTGCCACTGTACATAGAAGCAGCTGAAAAGTATCTCCAATCTTGTCTCCACAGCCTTCATGATGCATATTGCAGAATATACATGTTATATATCCCCTATGTTGTGTCTGCATACCCAAAACATTTTGTACTATATGTGGTAGACATGACCTTCAGGTGGAGTACAAATACGGAGTTTCTTTGTTCAGCCTTTTTTCTAAACCTTTTTTCATCCTGCAATATGTTATTCTCCAACAGTTTGGCAAAAATCCTGGTATTTCCCTTCTCACTCTTTTTGTGGACCTTCTGAAGAGCCTGTTGCACAAAGGTGGTGATAGAGAATTGTGTAGTGTGCAGGTACACGAAAATACACAAGCTGGATCTGACCTTTTTGTGAATGAAGAGTCTGAGACAGCAGGAAAAAGTGGAAATGATGAGGTATTAATATTTCTTTGTGATTAATTTGTCCTGGGGGCAGAGGGAACAATATTTCAACAATCTCACAGAACTAATTAAAGCTGAAAAAGCAACTTTTGTTTCTGTTTAAATTATGTTTACTTAATGAAGTGAAAAGCCATGCAAGTAGGAAAATGATCCAATTCTCCTTGCACTTTGGTATTTTAGATGCGATGAAATCCTTTAGAGTATCCTTCTCCCTCCTGGTGCCCTCCAGACATAGTTGGCTTCAACTCCCATCATTCCCAGCCAGATCATGATGTGAGATGCAGTCCAGGTTGGGGAAGCCTGCTATGGGTAGTAAGACAGTGTCTCTTAATTAAGCACCTTCATTTCCATACAGATTTTTTTTTCTGTAGCAGCAGCTCATTCCATTTTTTCGTAACATAACTTCCCTGAACCTTAAAACAGGAGCAGCTCTCTGAGGGAGCAGACAGCTTTTGCCATCAGAGGACTGGGGAGAGGCCAGTGGTGGACAGGAATTGCACATGCCTCTGCTTCCTCGGTAGTATAATTAAATTGCTTTTTCGGTTTTACTGAAAATGTTTGCCACTGCAGCTTTTTCCAGGGATGTAGTTAGCTTGTTTGGGTAATGACTGGTAATGTGCTCAAAGGCCACTAATGATATAGAGTGGGAAATGGTACAGAAAAAGGAAAGCAAAATTTTAGGGGTATTGGAGGAGCTGTCCTGCAAGGGAAGGCTTCAGATATTGCAGCTGTTTTTTAAACTTAGGAAAGAGAACGAGTAAGAAAGGATATAATAGTGGTTTATAAAATCATACCCCTGCTTGTAGAAAGTAGCTTGGGAGGGGTTTTTTTCCCTTCCCCATGATACCAGAAGGTGGGATCATCTACCAAAACTGATTGGCAAAAGCTTCAGTTCAGGAAAAAGGAAGAACTTCACACAGTAGGTAGCTTCTTTATGGAATTCACCACCACAAGAGGTGGCGATGTCACCAGCTTGGTTGCCATTTAAAGGGGCAGTAGACAAATTCATGGTAAAAAGCCTCAGTAGCTACTAGTCATGCTGGCTACACGTAGTGTCCAGAAATCCCATTTCCTGGAGCAGAGGAGGCACCCAAAGGAGGGTGCAAGCCTGTGCACCCAGCTTGTGGGCTGCTTGAGGCATCTGCTTAAAGTTGCTCAACTGAATGGGCCATCAATAGGCTTCTTCATATGTCTACCTTTTATTGTAAATTTCTCCTTTGCAGATACTGGAAGAGTTATTTTCTTTAGTCTTCAAACACCCTACATTGGAGAATTGGTTCTTGGCTGTAGAACAACGTTCTCTTCCCCCGCACAATTTAAGTCCAGTAAAAGTGAAACTGCTTTCCATTCACCTAAATCATGGCATTCTTGAGTTGCTGAAGATGAGTTGCCCACTACTGCAACCCAAGAATCAACTGGAAGTGTTCTCTAAGTATTTTGAAACCATCACTAAAACTGTGTTGGAGGAACTGCACCCCAGTAGACAGGAAGGGTGCAAAGTATCTTCCAAAAGGTCACAACAGATGGAGGCATTGCAAGAACTCTATACTTACTTGGATGCACAACAGCTAAAAGAAGTTACATTGGCTCTCCTGCAGCTTCCTAGAGCAAACCTGACCATGAAGGAATCTGAAACTGATTCAGGAAAAAAAATATGTTTGAGTACTTATGGAGAGACTTTGATGCAGCTCCTCACCGAAAGCTACCAAAAAGGATCTTTGAAGGGAGACCTCTTCTTTTCAAGAGAGCACATTCAAGGGATGGGTATTCTTTTGTCTACGGCAGCCACGAAGGAGCTGGAGAGGGTGTTCATGCATGTGATACAGAAAGAGCCCGTCTTTGCCCAGGCTGTTGGAGTGGACGTGCAGCTCTTCTGTCTTCAGCATTCAACAGAAACATCCCTTTCCATCGTGGCTTTGTTGATTCGGTATTGTCGTACTCACTTGCTGCAGTTTGAGCTTTGGTGTCTGAATCATGGTACTGGCAAACTCTTGAAAAAGAATGTGAGCCTTTTTCTGCCACTGATCAATACATACTTGGACTGTCAAAAGCAGCATACTTTTGCACAAGGTAAAAGTGGCCCGTTTATAGAAGAACTTTCACATTGCATTCTTAAGGGACTGTAATCATTTTGTACCATCAGTATATGTTTGTGAGGTGAAGTTGTGAATACAGCTTTTGGGGCTTTTAGTTTTAAAATGTTGTCTACTGTTTGAATAAGTGAACTAACTCATTTTTTAAAAAATCCATTTCCTTTATTACTGAAAAATAGGGCTTTTTCCTCCATTTTTAATTTTTATTTACAAGACATTCAACTAGTCTAGGCATATGTGTATATACCTGTAATATGTAATGCAAGAAACTTTTAATCAGGGCTTTTTCTTGGAGCACTTCAATGTTAATTTTGGTATGATTACCATTTTCAGACAGAAATGCTTACCATTCCCAAGCAACATGTACTTTACATGTTGTGATCTCTATCTTGGCAGGTAGATGTCTATCTTGAGCTCAGTAGCTACTTGGTACGTCATTCTGAAGACTGAAACTGTTATAGTGGCTCCTGGTACACACATCCTCACATAGAACTTAAAGGGCTATAGAATGCTGACATAATCAGGCCATCCCTCTGACTGTTTTGCATTGCTCTTTCTTGTTGTTGTGTCTCTTCAGCTGTTACGTCTACCTTGCGAGATGCTTTGTGGTCAGAACTTCTAGACATCGCTCTGAACAGAGGTTCATCACAGCCATTCACTGAGGAATGTCAGGTTCTTTCCAAGCTGCTTCCACCTTCAGAAACAGAGGCATTCATTTACCTAACAGAAAAATTACCTGTCGCCCTTGAGTCAGAAGGAAGTCATGAATAGTAAGCCCACTTAATTTATAAAAGTGAAAGAGTAAAGCCGTCTAGCCATTTTGTTTTCTGGTATAGAGACTTATCTTTCTAGGAGATTTGAAAGGATAGTCCAGGAAACTGAAACTTGGGGAGGGGGATAATTACTATGGGAACTAGAAGTTTAGCAAAGCTACTGCCCTTCTGATTGGCTAAGAGACAAGGTGGTACATAGGTGAAGATCATAAGCAAGAGTTAGGGAGAGAGGTAGCAATCAAAATAAGCTAAGTGGTTGGTGTAGAGGACCCAAACTCTGAGACAGAAGTTGAGCTTAAAAGAAAAAGCTGCATTGCCAGTAAACTAGGATGAGCTGGGAAAATTGCTTTATTTCTAGGTGTTGACTAAAGCAGGGAAACAACTTGGACCAGGTTTAGATGGATGTGTTTTTTATGTTATTTTCATAGCCTAATTGGTTTGTGGGCAAGCTATAATTTGTTCGAACCATCCTTGGCCTGATTTAGATGTAATAACGATCTGCTGATGGAAGAAGTCAGAGCTGGGGAGGGAGCAGAGGAAGCACAGAACTTGGTCAAACCAGCTTTAGCATTGTGTTTGAACTGAACCAAAGACATTACACTTTCTAGCATTTTAAATAGGCTAAAGACTGAAATCTGAAAGATGAGAGATGAATCAACAGAACTGTATGTGGTGGGCATTCTTTACCTACTAGTTGCTTCTCTGAACTGAAAACTATTTCAGCCCATTTGGTCTAGTGCTGATATGACTCCTTGAAACCCAATCTAATATCCTCCAGATGTGTTGGGAGTTATGAGAATTGCAGTGCAACACATCTGGAAGGGCACCAGGTTGGGAAAAGCTGCCTTTTGGTGCCTCACAGATCACGCTGGTCTCAGTAGGCCAGCTGGCAGGGCTGTATTTCCACTGGGTGGCACATTATGGCTCTTGGAGTGTGAGAAAGGAATGAAATGGCTGACTTTCCAGCTCTAGCAAGTAATGAATGTTTCCCTTTCCTTAGTTAAAAGCTTAAAAGGTACAACAGGGAACAGTGGAAAGGAGCGCACAGATGGCACTAATTTGCTTTTTTCCAATTCCCTGCAGCTGGGAGGTTGCTGATGCTGTATCAAGAGCCTTCGGGAGTTCTGCAGAAAAGTTGCAGGCATGGAAAAAATGCCTGCTAGCTGCCTGTATAAAATGGCTGATCCTCACTTACAGCAGTAGCAAAGAACAAGAAGCATGCCTAGAAACTGAGAGGACTATGCTGTCAAGGCTGGAGAAATTAGCAGTGAGGACTGGGTGTTTTTCTTCCCCTTTATTGTATACCTATTTATAGGGTGGTGAGATATCGAGTAGAGCAGATGTTGAAGGGTGGACTGAACTTCAGTAGCTTGACCAGTAGGGGGTGCTTGTGCACAAGCAGTTGTACATGAATGTACACATCTTTTATAAGATTACTCTGTTCATTCTCTTATGGTATCCTTAGATATATATACCTCTCTGATAGAATTATGGGGAGCATGATTATACTCTTTAATTCCATTTTTCTAAATGTTAAGCCCCTTTCCACCATTTGTGCCTTGTTACCTCCTTACCAAATGACTTTCCAGTGGTGCATGACCATTCAGAAGGAATTGCTCTGAAGTTTGTGTTCTATTAGAACGTTATTATTTTCGGGCAATGTCACACATTACAAAATGCTTACACAGAATTGTGCCTTTCACGTAAGACTTTTTGATGAAAGAAGGGGTGCTAAATCACACAGCATTTTCTTTAGAATGAGAGGGAGGGAAAGTCTTCAGACCTCTATGTAGGTTTCATTCCAGTGATGAAAGATACTAACATGCTTTTTCTTGTTGTTTTGTGTTATGGCTATTCTTAATATTTATCAGTGTTAGCTGCTTTGAATTTGTGAAGAAAGACAAGATTATTACGTGCATGGATTCTGATTTAGCTAAGGCGGCGCGGGGGCACAAGATATGACCTACATGCCTCTACTTGGCTTTTCTCTAAAGCTCACCTGTTTAGCTGGACCCTGGGGTGGGGGGAGGCCACTGTGAAAAGTTGCTGGGCAGTGGAACAGTAAACTGTGAAAGCCTGTTGTTCTCTCCAGCTGGTGATCAGAGTTGAGAGAAATTTAAGGTTTAAATGCCCTGCTCTTTAACAGGCTATTTATCGTGGATCGGAGGACTTTTTAGTGAAGGGCAGTATATAAAAGCTTTAGATAGATAAGGGATTCCAGCTTAGCCAAAGAAAACTTTCTCCATTATATGACCCCAGTGTCTGTTTCTGAGTAGGAGTGCATGGAACCGAGCTGTTCTTTGCATGACTGAAATCCATTTCACTGGAGCTTTCTTGTAAGTAGACATGCAGAGTTTTGTTTTGCATGGTAGGAAAGTGACAAAACTGGAAAGAATTACATCTGTGTTTCTGCACAACCATGTGCCGTTCAGGGTTCCATCATACCACCAATGTGGTCAATGGATCCAGAAAGATTATGCATCTTTTAGTGAAGGGATCCACATGCAGAAGGTACTTCTGCTTATATGTATCTTTACTGAATCAGATTGGATAGTATTTGGGTTAGATGAACACCAATGATGCTGAACACTTTTATTAGTAAATAAAACCAATTGTTTTCAATAGAATTTTGTTTCAACTAAAATATAGTTCATAGTATGGTCTAAATATAAACTAAAAGATGTATGTGGTGCTATCAGTGACATATCAGGCTTCTTTTGAGGTCCGACTGCTAAACCTATGCCTGCACCCTCGTGTCCGCCAAAAGTTTTGAACTATACCTCCCATAATCCCTAATCATTAGCCATGGTGACTAACATATGGAAATAGGAGCTCAGAGTGTGTGGAAAATACCAGTTTGCCTAACCCCAAGTTAGAAATGCATGTGTTTGTTTTTGAAATCCACCTTACTTTACAAATGTCTTTTTATTCCGAGTTATTTTCCAAATAGGGAAGCAGGAGTTACAGGAGTATCAGTTTTCTCTCTCTACCCCCACTTCCATATATAACGGTATATAAACGTCGTGTTGCTGTTTCCTGTCTATCCAGAGCTCAGTAACTGAAGTAGTTCCAGAAGACTGGCATAGTTTTGTGAAGATGGGGCTCAAGTAAGCTTTCTCTGATGTTATCACTGGTTTGGTACTGTTACAAAGAATTGTGTGTCAGTGCAGAGTCTGTAATATGCTAAATGCTTCCTGCCTGTACAGACATCAGAATATTTGTGACCACTAAAGCCCATATTTGTTATTATGAATATATATATTTAAAATCATATCTGCACAAATTCCAAGTGCAAAAGTGAGGATGCAATTGAATGCAGATATGCTAAAATAATGTCCCAACCACTCGAATTTCCTTCTTTGTTGTTGGGCTGAGAGTGCTTCAATTTTAGTAGATTTAAGAACTGCAGCTGGAATTGGTCCATTTCAATCCATTTAAACAAAACAGACTCTCCTAAAATTCTTCCCCTGTACAGTGATATAACCATGGAATTAAATATTCCTATGAACAGTCATCGCTTAGAGGAGTCACCTTAGACAAAGCTTGTGTGGTGTTGGTGTGGCTCATGCAGTGCACTTTGCATGAATGTAAGATCGCCGCACAAGTGCGGAATTGGTGGTCTGGTGTTGAATCTTAGGTTTTAATTTTTCCTTTAAGCCCTTATGGCTTGGCTGTAAAGAAAAGCTTGAATACCTAACAAAATATTTAGAGACAGGGTAAGCAAGATTCCCAGTGGATCGGGAAGTAGCTGCAACTTACCTTTCTTTTCCAGCTTGGATACCAGCACTCAGGTTGTTCCTTCTACTCATTCGCTCAAACTCATTCGTAAGCCTCACTGTTGTTGTTGTTGTTGTTGTTGTTGTTGTTGTTGTTGTTACATGCTGTCATATCATCTCCAATTTATGGCAATACTAAGAATGAGTGCCCTTCAAAATGTCCTGACCTTGATAGCCCTGTTCAGCTCTTGGAAACTCAAGGCTGTGGCTCCCTTTATGGAATCCATCTATCTCATGTTTGTTGTCTTCTTCAATTAGCTTCAACTTTGGAACAGGGTAGATTATGCAAAATAAGCATGAGCAAATGCTACTGCTTGATCATTTGGATATCCTGGAACAGAATCCAGTTAAGCATATTGCAGATATTATACAACACAAATGCTGCCACTGAACTCCTGCTTGATCTGGTGCAGAAGCAAGGAACACCACTTGCACAACAGAAAGCTGGCAGTCCTCAAAGTAATCCCAGAAAGAAGGGGACATGCTTGCTTTCTGATTGGGCAAGTCAGTGGAGTTCCCTTCCCTTCAGCAGTCTCCACTGATCTGTCCCATTCTGCAAATGAGCATTTATGGTTGTTGTTTTTAACTTTTAGCTCCCTATTGCACCAGTGGTGTTTCTTACTGGTGGGCAGACTTCAATACTGCCATTCATTCATTCATTCATTCGATTTATATCCTGCTTTTTTCTGATAGCGAAGATGGCTTACATCTTCCTGCTCTTCCTGCTCTCAGTCTTATCCCCACAACAGTCCCTTGAGGTAGGTTGGGCTGAGAGTCTGGCTGGCCCAAAGTCACCCCGTTGGTTCTGTGGCCAAGTGGGGACTAGAACCAAAATTGCCTGAGTCCCAGTCCCATGCTCTTAACCACTGCACCACATTGACTCTCTAAGTTTTTTTTAATATTATTTTATCTTCTAATGAAGTCTTCTGCAACCTGATGCCTTCAGGTGTATTGACTACAACTCCCATCCTCTCCAGCCATCACGACCAGTGGGAGCTGTAGCCTAAGACATCTGGAGGGTGTCTCATGATGGAATGCTGACCCTAAAGGACATCACACAGTACAGCTAAATAGTGCACCAACCAAGCCAGCATCTGGGATATAGAATTCTTTCCTTCATTTGTTTTATAGGCAGACTGCATGATCTTTGTCATAACATATTTTTAATTTCTGTTGTGTAGGTACCGTTATAAAGATCAGGATTTCCTGAAAACTCTGAATGCAGTAATAAATATGTTGTACCGGAAAGAAGTTTCTCTTAGTCAGAGATTAGTCAAGCTATCAGTGCTTTATATGATGATCACGCAGCACTCTTTATTTCTGTCAACAATGCTGAAGTCGCAAGAAGAGAATGACCTGAATGTTCATGCAAGAGGTCTGTTTCTCTTTTGTTTCCCTTGGTCTCGATTCTCTTTCAATTGTTCTCAATCCTTCCACTTACAGCAGATTTGAAAACATGTAGGTGGTATCTGAAAGACTATTATTTTAGTGTTACAATTTTAAAAATTAGCTATTCTGTTCTATTACCACTACTATTTTTTCTACTGGATTTTTTTCAGCTCAGAAGTCATCTGTGCTTTCTATGTTCAGTGTGTTAGTGATAAACTCAGTAGAAAAGTAAGAATTCTTGTTCATCTGTATATTTATGAAGCAGTTTTACACTATTTTCTATAGCTGTTTTTGCTTTGCGTTTAAACAAACCTGGATGACCCAAGGTCATTGTAAGAGAACAACAATCACTATAAAAATCCTGAGAAACTCAGCTTTCTTCTTGCATGAGATGGACCAGTCATGGGTAGGATTGCATGTTGGCCTACTACAGATGCAGGGGTAGGTAGAGTAATGAAGATCAGAAGGCACTGAGCTACCTCGTATAATTTAAGGGCCCGGAATGAGGTGCCCCAGAGCTGATTAATCAGCCCCTAGAACCATTATTTGGCACCCGTGCTGAGACCTACAGCTTCCCATGTTACATTGGTTAGAGAGCAGAAGTGAAAACAAGCATGTCCCAATTAATTTCTGCACAAAAGGTGAACAGAGTTAGTGTAATAAGAAGTTTTACCATGCCCATTAAATGTCCTTTTACCTTCTTCATCAAACTAGAAGAAAACAACTTTTGTGAATTGAAAATATTTGCTTACCTTATTTAAAACAAATGAAGTCTGTAAAAGGGATTATTATGAAATGTTAGTCACAATGTGCTTTCCATTTTGTTGTCCACAGTATTGATCCACTCAGAAGTTGTCCTGCATAGCTCAGCTGAAGTTAATGAGAACTGTGCAAGAGCACATAATAGCGCTCTTGTGGTGCTCTGTTGATCTCAGCAGTGCTTGCTTTGGAGAATTTCCTAGCGGCTTGTGCCCAACGTCATCCTCACAAGGAACTGCTGGAACAAGCTTGATATTTTCAAATTGCTTGGCAAGGGGACAACTAAGTCATTTGGAAGATAAAAGAAATGTCTTTTTTCTTTTGCTTCAGAGGCATTAGTGGACGTCCTGTTGACTCTAGTAAAAGGATGTCCTGCTGTTTGTGAGAGTAACCATTTTGCTGTGCTGCTTGGAGCCTATGGTGCGACACTGAGTGTTTCAGGTGAGTTTATTCATTCCTGAAAGCTTTGAAAAAAATCCTTAATGTCTAATGTGTTGGTCAGACTATTATATGTGCCATGTGTTGTTTGGACAATTTGGTTGCAGTTCCTGGATGATTTGAGAAAACTACTGGAAACTGCACTAAGAGGACGATCATTTGCTGATTTAGGGGTTTATTTAAATCAATCCTTCTAATAGGTTTTTTTTTATTCTCAGAAATTGAATTTAGAAAAAATAAAAGAAGGAAAAGGGACAATGTCTTTCTAGGGTGTCAGGCATAGCAGGACTGCTGGGGAGCCTAAAGAGGTGTTGGGTATGGGAGCTGTGGCTGTGTCACACAAAGAAGGGCCACAGTCCAGTCTGGGCAGAGTCTTGAAGGCTGCATGCCTCTGGTGGGCAGGTCTGAAAGCACAAGGGACAGAATTATTATAGCTTCAAGCACTTACTGGCAGTAACAGTCACAGGAGAGCAAGTTCAGTAACTTGAATGGGGGGAAACAGAAAAAAAATCAGGAAGCCATGAAAGAATCATGGTTCATGGTGAAGGTTAGACCATTGTGGGGAGGGCCATGTTGGTTCTCCAGGCAGGCCAGACTTGGCTCTCAAGCCTGAGATTCTGTAACCCTGGCATAAAGCAAAGACTGAGCAGTAGTCTAGTGGGCATTGGATGGGGTGGGGAATGTCTTGTTTGATTCAGTTGTACAGACACTTTATGTGCTTAAGCCAGCACTGTTTCAGAGAGGCACCCAAGCCACTTGCTGTGCTGTTAGATGATGACTTGCAGCCGAAAGTGGACTGCCTTCATCCAAAAGGGTCTGAGGTGATGGAAGTCCTGTCTTCAGAGATGGAAGTCCTGTCTTATTGTTTATGTGACCAAGCTCTGAAGCTCAGAAATTTTGGGTTACTCCAGGATATGCCATATTTATAGTGTGCGCTCTCTCTCTCTCTCTCTCTCTTTCTTTCTTTCATAGACCAGAAAATACTGCTGCTACTTAAATTGTATGAGAAGAATGGTCTAAGCCTTGTAAACTTCAGGTTAGTTGACTGCCTTTTCAGGTGATGGATGATGTGGAGAAAGCATGTCAGGAAAGCACTACAATGCTTCAGTTTGAACCAACCACTAGCTGCCTTAGGGTCAGTCACTGAGTCTCGGCCTAACCTAACTCACAAGTTGTTGTGAGAATAAAGTGGATAAGAGGACTGTGCCAGTCCCCTTGAATACTTTGCAAGAGGGAAAAAGGTGGCATAACATAACAGTGTTAATAAAAATAAGAAGTGATGATGTCTACATCATGGGAGTACAGCACAGCTCTATGGAAAGCAGATTCAAGATGGCATCTTTAGTCCCTTCTTAAGCATCACTGTAGATAATTGGCCTTGAGTATTCGCACGCCACATACAATTTTTTACACAAGTGGTTTTGTGTAAAATTGAGCCTGAACTTAAGAATATACATTCCTCAAGAAAGCTAATGGTGCTCAGTGAAGTGAAGGGCAGAAGGTTGAAGCTTTTTTGTTGCCTCGTATATATCAATCTCTACTGTGGTCTAGTAGGAGGTGACACTTGGACTTTCTCATGCATCATTTAAGAATCCTAGATTGAATTACCTTGAATGCACAGCTGTAGTTTATTCTTCCCTTTGTGTAGTGCTGTGATGTGTTGTTAGGATAATGCCCATTCTGAGAATATACTACTGTCCTATGAGAGACAAATTAAAGAATGTGCCTTAATCCCACTTTAACCTACACATCCCCCATTTCTTGGGCCGCTAATTATAACCACCCAGCAGCTCAGAGAAGAGAGTTTTGTATGCATCCACACCTGCATCCCATTCAAGTGCAAGGATCCGCGGCTACTTGTTTTGGCTGCCAGGAGAGGATGCCTTGCTGTATTCACTAAACATGAAGGCAAACCATATTGGTGACTGGACACCCATCCCTGCATTTGCTTCCCTCTCTTAGGAGCAGGGAAGTTTCATGGAGCCCTTCAGTGCTTGAAACACACAGTCATGGAGCAGAGCTTGCTGCAGTGGGAAAATGTACTTAATGCAAGTCATGTCATCTCCTCATGAAACATCCTAGAACATTATTGCACTACTTGAAAATCTGGATTGCCTTTTAGCCAGGGGAGATCAGCAGTGGCAGCAGCTGGAAGTGATTCCTTAGAAACAGGAAATTTGTCCTAAGCCTTGGAAGAAGCTCTGTCTTCTTCAGGTTGCATAATTTGGCCAAGCTGTTGACTGCTTTTCGAATTTTCTTCTGTTGCCCCGTTCTGCAGATAAGCCTCTTATTAAATATAAATGGTATATAAAGATATATCTTTTTAAAATATGTTATTGATTCTGTTCATATGCTATGCACAAGTTTTTAACTTATGAGTTGGCTAAAAAGGAAGCATGTCACAGTGAACATAGCTTTGTAGTTTAATTTTGTTTCAGAGTGTGTTGAAAGGAAAGCTAAGGTTGCCAAGGAAACACATCCTCACTTTCAGTACTGTGGTAATAAAGATATGAAGGGAGAAGTCAACATTGTACTACTATTTATAAGTCAAATTGCTACTTTCTCTTCACATAGAATGTATTGGAAAATACATTACCTTCTTCTGCTGTGATTCCAGGATATTACTTTGGGGTCCAGCAGCTGTGGAGCACCACAAGACATGCAAGAGTTTGGGAAAGTCATTGTGGCAGCAGCCAAGCATGGAAGAAATTCTGTGTCTGCTAGACCAAGAAATGATGGAAAGGACCATTCTCCATTTTCCCCAGCATCGGCATCTTCTGTCCACTGAGGTGCCTTGTCTCAACTATAATCTGTTGTCCTTTTTAATAAACAGGAGAGCATTCTGATTTTCCTCATTCAGTCATATTCTTACAAATAGTATCTTAAGTCTTCACATTGACAGTAACGGCATCTGGTGCATTTTATTTATTTATTTATTTATTTAGGCTATTTGTATGCCGTCCTTTGCAAGAGCCTTAGGACGGCTTGCACAAATAAAATACAAATATCTAACATAACATAAATTAATGACCCACTCTGGCTGCAATTAAAATATGATGATAAAATTCAGTATCAAAACTTATTAAAATATTGATTAAATGAAAAGGTCTTAACCTGGCGCCGAAAAACATGTAATGACTGCGCCAGGCTGACTTCTCTGGGGAGCTCATTCCATAGACTGGATCTTATTCTGAGATCTTTTTCCCTGCAGATTTGTGGTTGTTGTTAATGTAATGGCTATATAATGTTGTCCTCAGCTATATAGTCCAAAAGCTCAGTGTTCTGAGTTTAGCAAGATTTCAGACTTGTGATGTTGAAATCCTAGGGATTAACTGCTAATCCTTGGCAGAGTTTTTGAGGAAATGCTTTAAGTGAATTTCTTTCAGAAGAAGAAGGGGTCTGTCTGGAGAGAGAAGGCTGTAAAATTGCTGGTAGCAGCAAGAACACTGTTGTAGCCTTGCCAGCCTTATTTACAGCGGTTTGTAGTGCTTGCAAGATAGATGCTGTGAGGCCACTGCCAGTCCGTGTCAGCTGTTCAGGCCTGGATGGACATCAGCCTGACTCAGGATAAGGCTGCTCCCCATGTTTCCAGGACCCCATGTTAGTCCTGCTTGGAGAAGCCCCTTGGACATGAATGAAACTTGACTTTTGTTATAAGTTGTTAGAACAACTCAAATTCAACATCGTGTTTGAAATTCAATCATGTTTTGGTTTCTCTTCTGTGTTTTAGGAAGAGCAGATGCTCCTAAGCAAAGGCAAAAGTGAAGTGGCACTTAAAGATCTGTATGATCCTTGTTTTCTCCTTCAGCTTTTCAGCGAACTGTTGAGACCAGGTATCAGAAATAGCTGTTTTGATTTGGGGGAAGCATTTGGTGTGAACCTGTGGAAGAATTAGACCCCTGTGAAAGAACATGTTTGTATTCCAGGCTGATGGAACCTTGCTTAAGAAATCCCTTTCAGGTGACCAGTGCAGCTAGTTTTTCTACATAAATTAAACAATCTGCATCCTTCCTAGCAAGGTTCCAATTTTTATCAACATGTGGGTTTTTGTTCAAATGCACAACTTTGACATATTTCCCAGCATAACGATTACTTTTGCTGTTTTGGAATGGGAGAAGAAAGGGCTTTCTATAAGGCTATTTTATGTTAAAATTATCCAGGTAGGCTTTGCAGTACAAAAGAAGTGCATTGCAGAAGGCAACAAAACAGGTGAAGTTAGAATACTGACCATTAGGGACAGCTTAACGATAAGTTGATCCCAAAGGGAATACCTCCTCCCTTCCAAACCAAAAAGAGCAAGACATGCCTTCAGGATGGATTCTCCTGTTGCAGGGCCAATTGGTTGGAATGTCTGATGCTGGGTGGCTTTGTTAGTCTGACACAGGACCCTCATATTAATCATGCTAATTCACCCCCCCCCCCACTCCACTAGCAGGCTTACTAAACTTTCCCACAGAAGCAGTCTCATTCCCAGTGACTGTGTGGCTTATCTCTGGGTCCATTGGAGTTGGCATCTCAGCTGTGAATTCTAATCTCCTCAACTGAGTCAAAATCTGTATCCAATTTTGGATGCTCTTTTATAGGAAGGGTGCACCCAATCCCTACAAATGCTTACCTGTTTCCTCTAATAGGAAAACCCCTTTTTTCTCACTTGTTTGCATGGTTGGCAACTTCCCCCAATTGTTTGGCTGCTTGCTTGCTGTGGGAACAGATCATCTTACCTTGCACTTGCTGCATTCTCCATCTCTCATCAGTGCTAGTCTACAGCCCTGTTCAGATGTAATGGCAGAGTCTGGAAGCAAATCCTGGGTTAATTAACACATGAATTTCTGGGACCTACACTGCAACCAAGCCACTGTTGCATTTGAGGGTCGTTTTCATGATGTCTAGACAGGGACACTTTGGATTCTTCATAGGTTAAATAACCCCAAGTTAACCCAGAAACAAGCCATGATTTAACCTAGAGTTGTTTAACCCATAACAAAACCCATCACAGATTTGGACATTATGGGAAAAACCCTCCAATGCAGCATTTTAAGTTTAATTAAACAGGAAACTGCTCACATTCATTCCTGTCATTCCTGGGTTAGTTGGACACTATGTGTTGCCCTTGCTTCCAAACAAGGCCAATGTAATAGGCTGCCCGCCCCAGAAGATACAGCTGCAGATCACTCCAAGCAGCCCAAGGCTTTGGCTTCTGCATGTTCCGTCTCTCGGGCCTTAAAAGGATAAATTTCAGACTTGACTTGGACACATCTATGTTAAAACAAAACTAGTCTTTTGGCCTTGAAGAGAGCTTAGAGTAGCTCTTCTCAGCCTAGGGGAAATTACTGTGGCAAGAGAAGCTGTATGTCCTTCCACAGTAGAAAATGCAGTATTGTTTGCAATTCAGATAGTCTTCCTGATGGTACTTGCAGCTTCTTAAGTACAAAATCCCTGGTTTTTTGTACTACTTCAGCATTGCTGCTGGACTCTCTTAAGATGTCTACCATGCCTACCATGTACATGCACGTGCCATGAGCAGAACCGCCTGGAGCCGGGGGTCAGACTAGTTGGCTTGGGAGACCTTTTCTGGCTTGCTCTATGTTTCTAAGATGAGGTGATCTGGCAGTTTCTTACTGTATCCATAGAAGTACCAGGTTGAGGGCACAGTCCACTTTGTCATTTGCATCTGGAAAAAGAAGTAAGCTTTTCTTGTGAAGAATCTGATTTCTCTGGTGCAGTGCCAAATAAATGAATAACTTGTTTAAGTATGAGACACAAGCCAAGTTTCTACCTTTCAGCAATAGAGATGAAGAATCTGTCTGTATATCAAATAATAAAATGTACTAATGGAAGATTGGGTAGAGGTCTACATACTTGGATGCATAGTCTTAATGTTCATCCATTTAGCTGCATGAAGTATATATCTGCATGTAACCTGAAACTCAGTGCCTATATGTTACAAGCAAATTTTCCAGCTGCCTCCCCCTATTGTTCTCTGGATAAACATTATGGCATCTGGTTTGTGTTTGCCCAGTAGCAATGATATCTTCTAAAACAGATGGCTGGTTGGTACTATAATTGGTTTCGAAAGGCAGAGTAAATAGTCTTAATGAACAGAGATCAGATAGTACATTGAGCAGAAAAGTTTCCCTTCTGGATCTTCAAGGGTAATTCCAAATGAGTATATAGCAGAAACGAATGGAACAACCTGAACAACTGTGTTTTTAATTTTTTAAAGAACTCACAAAGGCAGCCTTCCTCAACCTAGTGTCCTCCAGAGGGGTTGGACTGCAACTCCCAGCATCCTCCAGCCAGCAGAGAAACAGGTTGTCACCCAACATATCTAAAGGCACCAGACTGGTGAAGGCTGATCAGAGTATGAGCTGGTTATGGACAGGGAGTATGAGGATGGCAGAAGGATTTCTTGGATGGGAGCAGTACATCATCTGAGGCTGCTCTTTCCTCAGACACAGTGCTGCATCTTGTGATGTGTTTGTGATCCTGCCTTATGGGGCCTCGGTCCACTTGCCAGCAGCTGCTGCTTGGATCATTTTCCCCTGTCCATTTTCCCTGTCTAAATTTCTCCTTCACAAGTAAATAAAAAAGGGCACTTCTCTTACTGCTCAGTGGTGAGGTGATGGTTAGTTTGTTGCTTCGTTTCTTCAGTGTCTCCTGCCCTGATACTACTGCAGTGAGTGCCCAAACTTCAATCCAAAACCCATTTATTTATTGCAACACTACAATACAACCGGAAAACTGAGGTTTTAGTTTAGAAAAAGCTCACAGCCAGTCCAAGCAAATATATGTATATATATCCTTGGCAGCGCACTGACCGACCATGCGAAAGCTTGAACAAGTCGTGGTTGTGATGTCATTGCCTGGCGCCGCTACTCCTTTCTGAGCATGCACATGACCCCTATGTGCACTGTTATCTGATGCTCAGATGCTGAGGAGATGCTGGAATTACTTGACTTGCATACTGACAGAGAGAGCTCTGCGTGCCCACTGTGGCACGCGTGCCATAGGTTCACCACCAATGCCCGAACCCTACCCTGCTACACTCCCCTAACCCTAATATAGGGGTAAAATACCATTAAAGGGGTGATTTTGAAAAAGTCATACTTGAGTAGCTTTTTCTGCACAGCTCATCATTTCTGCCCATCATTTCTAATATCTATCTATCCATCCATCCATCCATCCATCTTTTTAGCTTTGCTATCTTGCATGGAATCAGGAGGCAGAAAATTTCTTATCTTTGGAATGTCAGTCTCCTACCCATCACAATGTAAAAGTTGCTCAGAAAAGTACAATATGTTTTGACATTCTGTTTTCAGCAGTGATTTACCTCTTCCCACCACTTTTGGTAAGCACTAGAAAACAGCCTTGTTGGATCAGTACAGCAAGATATCTTGTGGGAATACAAACATTATTCTCTCTAGCCTAGGACACTAGATCAGTCATTAAAATATTGTCCTTCCCAATATTGTTCCACATTAGTTACCGCATTATCTTCCCTGCATTTTTGTCTTTCTGTGTAACACGTGCCAAGCAACAGATCTTGCTTTGGTTCTACTTGGCCTGTGTTGCTTGCTGTTTTCCCATATTTGACAGCTTTGGAAGGCTCACTCCCACTTACTGCATGCCACAATGCTTCCTTTTGTCCTGCAGTTTTTTTTTCAGCCTAACTGCCTCCATTCATTTGACCACAACTACCATCACTCTGAATATGCTCTGTGGAGCAATCCTGAGCATGCTGTGCTGTTTCAGCAGGTGACCCAAACTGCCATTGTTATATATTGTTTTCTGTATGTGCTGTAACAGCACTGTGTGCATGAATTATGTTTCATAATTACTTCTCCCTGCGTATAAAAACCCCAAATTACACAAAGACGGAAAAACCACACCTCTGCCTATATCTAGAACTGATCATTATCTCAGCAGTTGTTTCCCCATGAGCTTTCCAAGGTTCTATAAACACACTTCTATGTCCAACTTAAATTAATTATTTCACATGTCAACTGTCAATTTCATTTTGCAAGGTCAGCTCTGCTGTAAATGTTTCCTTCCATGACCCATACTCACCTTTGCAGATTAATCTTTGGTTGGTAGATATAGGCTGTGTTCATAAAATACAGAACCAGATTCTGTGTTGACAGAATTGTCCCTATTAAAGGGAGGGTTAGGCTACAGCTTAGAGAGGGATGATAGTGGAGGAGGGATTAATTTGGAACCCCTAATAGCCAGTTGGGATTAACTCCACCAATGTACATGCATTGGCGGAACAGAAATATGCACCCACAGCAAACTGTATTGATCACCCCATGGGCTATATAAAATACGGTTAAAGGTAAAGAATCTGTTTTCTGAGAATATGAAATATGGACCCCAGCTTTGTCAGACAGAGTTGGAGAGACAAGGGTATATAAAGGGATGTAGTGTAGCTGATGCCAAGGTACAAGGCATGTATTATGCCTTCTAAATTGGCATAATTTGAGCTCTAGGTTGTGGTATATACAGTTTTAAATAAATAAATGTTAGAAATTAGGATGCAAAAGGGCACCTGTATTTTTATTTAGGAAAGGCTATTTGCTTAAACTGAAGCAGTTCAGTGGGATTCTATTTTCCCACAGAATAATGAAACCAGGATATTCTTCTAATCACATATTCACATACTTTTCAGAAAGTTGCTGTAATTTTAAAGTACATAAGTTATTCTTACCTCACCCCCCCCCAAAAAAGAAAATCTTTGGAGGGTGTCCTTTCCCAAACCTTTTGAAAACTGCTTTCCCCTTCTCTGCAGAATGTGTCGCAGCTTGCCGCAAGTTTGTCGAGGTCAATGCTTTGGGCCTGGTGGTAGCAGCCCTGAGCAGCTACGATTGTAACATGCGAGCAGCTGCATACCACGTGCTGAGCTCTTTTCGCCCTCACCTCGAAGGGGCTCGATTTCGAGAACAGAAGCAGGTGAGAAGAACTTACCTTTAACACTGTTAAATGTGATAACTGAAGAAGAGCCCTGCTGGATCAGACCCAAGGTGGGTCTGATCCAGCAGCCTGTCCTCCAGGGCTAAAGAATCAGTGGCTGTCTTGATTAAGCAGAATTTCAATCTGCCCTCTTGGCCACTGGTGAGGTATGATGGGAATAATGGGATCACCAGCATTTGGAAGGCTTGTGATTCCTCAGTGCTGCTGTTGTCTGAATTCTTGCCTAGTAAGACTACACTTGTTCAGGAAGCACATAGTCAGCCACTGCCTTGCTTATATTCTTCCATCAAAGATGCAAAAGTGCTTCTGCTTTCAGGGTTCTGGGTAATTTCCTCCCCTGGCCCCTGAATATTGATTTATATATAGGATTTATAAAAATATATATTTTTCTCAGGACTTTTTCTGACTTTTTCATCATGCCAAAATAATGTTTGACTGATATTAGGGTATGAATTCATTTCAATTGTATTTGAATTATAATTTCTAAACCGTGTGTTAACTTCTGTTTTTCTGCAATCCCTGCGAAGAGTTGTTTAACTTTGTGGTTAAAACAGTTCATACAACCTGTTTTCTCATGTTTCTCTCCTTTTTGCTACAGTTGCTTTACCTGATGGATGTTGTTCAAAATGGAATCAGACAACCAAATCTCAGGTTGACTTTCCCTTGGGTACTCTATATATCTAGAGTGGCCCAGCAAATGCTGAAGCCAGGTACTACAGCAAACCACACTTTGTGTCTTCTCTCTTCTTCTGATAACTGTGATCATGCTTTGGTAGATTTTTGTTTTGGAATGAACAGGGGTGGCTTTGTGAGAGATCACGTACAAGTAAAAAGGTAAAGGCTTTCCCTTGACATGAAGTCCAGTCATGCCTGACTCTAGGGGGCGGTGCTCATCTCCGTTGCCTAGCCGAGGGAGCCAGCATTTGTCTGCAGACAGTCTCCATGGTCATGTGGCCGGCATGTCTAAACACCAAAGTGCACGGAACGCTGTTACCTGCCCACTGAAGTGGTACCTTTTTATCTACTTGCATTTGCATGCTTTCGAACTGCAAGGTTGGCAGGAGCTGGGACAGAGCAACGGGAACAATCTGGGTCTCATCAAGAAAGCAGAAAACAGAAAATAATTCATGAAATATGTATTATAGGTATTTCAGTTTTGTCATGCGGTAAAGTAGGGAGGGGTGCTTTTATTTTAATATAAAATAATTGAAAATAAATGTAATATAAAATAAATCGATTTCATCAATGTGCTTAATGATGCAAGCTTAATTTTTTTTATCATGTTACAACTGTTCTGGTTTTTTCCCCATAGAAGAACACATGTACACAAAACTGAACAGGTTCCTTTTATCACACCAATATTTGGATTTGAAGAAAGTGCCAGGATTCTTTCACCTTTTCTATAGTTTTGATTCAGAGGTAACAGGAAATCTATGTTGCATAAACTGCCAATCCTAGATAACATGATTATGTTGCCTGCCATTTACTGCGTACAAAATGTTATATAGAACTTGATACTGCTATGAGTAGCTCAACTTGTTTTTAAAAATGCAAGCAGAGCCCTAAGTTGATTATCCTTACAGTTGAGTGCAGAACCAAGGATCTCCTCTTGCTGAGTCCTGAAGAAGATTCCAGACACATAATTCAAACATGGAGACGTTGTTTCTAGCATGGCTACCATTTCATCACATAGTGCTTTTATATTCAGACATTACCCCTATTCTATTTTTCCTCCATGCCGTTTCCAAAGCAGTCTACAAAAAGTCGCATATCAAATGCAAGAAAATTGTATTCATTTAAAATAAGAAATGTGAGGTAGAGATTTACGTCAGTCTTCAAGTAAATGTGAACAGTCCCATCACCCCGTGCTGAGTGCAGGTGTGCTGGTCATCTATGGAATTGTGAGTGGGTTGCTAAGATGGGTTGCCGCAGCTGGATCTTTCTGGTTCAGAGAGCAGGATACGGTTACATACTCATAGTAAAATGACTGAGCACTGCTACTGCAATTATGAGTCACATAATATAGATATAATTGTAATTAAGGTTTTGTGCTTCAGTTTGCAGCATTTTTTCCTCTCCTCTGTCCACCTTCCCTTCTTCTGCAACAGATCTGTTAATTGGCAATAGTCCATCCCATTTATATGGGGAGGCAGTGTGCAAGGGAACAATGATGTACTCTGTTTTCACTTTTGTTTTTTTAATAGAATGTTGTGCTGTTTTGTTTTTCAGCACAAATTTGAACGTGAATGGTCTCTAACAATTATTGGGGAAGGACTCAGAGATAAACACTGCTATGAGTTGTATGATTATCAGAGAATTTTCCATATCATTCTGTCTTTCTTTCATAATCCTCTGTGTGATGAAGCCACCCAGGTAAAATATAACTGAAATGCATTCAGACACAGCAAAAGCTTTTCACTCAGAGCAAAAAGAATGGTTGGAGACTTCCTTTGTCATTCATGTATTAAGTCTCTCATGCACTGATTGTAATTTCTGTGGCCTGCATAAAAACTTGTACCCTGCTGTTTACCATGCCTTATCATTAGCTCTGAAGTCTAATGGCATTATAAATTGGGCATGATTAATTGTAATAATATTCAGAAGGTGCAGTTCCCAGTTGTGAGCTCCCTTGGGTGTAATGGGAGTTTCAGCTGAATAAACACAAATAGAATTGCTGTATATTTTATGTGGGTGTTAGTTTTTCTCTAAGTGTGTGGATATGTTCTAATAGACAACTGAGCCCTCTTGCAATTGCTGAAAATAAGATACTATCTTATAATAATAATAATATTTACACATGTTATGACATGGTTGGGAACCAAAGAGACTAATGTGGAAGCAAGATAAGGTCATCTGTTATTTTATCAGATTTGTTATTCCAAAATCAGATTGAATTCATTAACAGCAATGTGAATGGCATTCATGCAATAAAAATCTATATATCTGTGGAAAGTCACTGTACAAAATCTGGAACATTCTGAGCAAGTCAAAAGTCCTTATACAGCGCTAAGAAATGGGTGTATGAAAACACTTCTTTATGACAAATTGGCTATTATTCATTTCTTTCCAAAAAGAATAACTCAGCTCTAATTATTGCATGCATACACAGAGTAATAATTGTAAAATTTCAAGCAATAGATTGTACCCTTTTATGGCCCTCTGTTCATGAAAGCTCTGTAGCTGATCCAGCCTCCACGTGCATATACAGTTGTGCCATCTGTTTTACAAAGGCAACACACACACACTTTCCGCCTGGGAATTCGGCAGCATGGGTGCTTACACTGAAGTGGTGCAGCTGGCCCACTGCATAGGCCTCTGTCTTCTGCTCTGCCTCTTTCCTCAAATGACGTGATGCTACATTTAAAACTTCCAGACACCATAGCTATTTTCTCCTTACCTGCATAGGCTGTGATGGTGCAGGGGTTATGAATGTGTGTTAACTTTTATTACTCAGAACTTGAGTTTACTGTACCCACACTTACCAGACTATTAGATGACTAATTCCTGAGAAGCAGCCATGTAATCAGTTCCAGCAAAAATGTATGCTTGTTTTTATGATAGCACAAACTTCTTACATATTGGTATGTTTTGCCTTTCAGGATCAGATTCTGGAAATACTTCAGAATGCCGCATTCATCACCAAAGCTGCCTATGAGCTAATAAGAGATCATAGCTTGTTAACGTGGATACTGTCTATTCTAGAAAAGAGGTACATAAAGTGAACAAAATGTGAGACAGCAAGAGATTAGTACAAGATGCAGGGCAGGAGGTGTTCTCATAGCATTCATACTAAGTAATTAAAAGAGCCTATGCTCATTTTAGAATCTCCATAAGTTGGGACAACAGAGCTGCAACTTAAATTTTAAAAAATAACCATCATTTTTAAAAATTTGACAATTTTTTTCTGAGCCTGTTGAAATTTCAGCTGCCACAGATTAGAAACACGGGGGCGGGGGGGCGGGGAGGCAAGTCAGACAAGGGTTCCTGGACCATCTAGTCTGACCCCTGGCTTCAGCTGGCTCCACTCATGTAATCCCCCACTAAATTACATCCAAGGCCAAGGCATTTCATGATCCCTAAAAGAGGCAATGATTTGGGTGCTATAGGGCAAATGCCTCTCACCTGGAATATGTCAGGAGATGCAATTCAGTGTTGTCATATAATACAGAATATGCTTTAACAGATTCAGCTCCATTAACTAGGCTTCAAAGAGTCAAGGGCTTTTTCTTCTCGGTTTGCTTCTTTTATTGAACATTTGTTTGAGGAAAGTATACATGTCTACACAATTTTCTTGTTTAGTTCCAGGCATTGTTGCATTTGATCTCTTTGTGAAATGGAAAGTATCTGCATGATCTTAAGAAGAACTGACATTAGCAAACTTTCATTAAAAGCCTAAATAAGGTCTGGGAGCAAATAAAAGTCAAACTTCCTCCTACTCCTGTTGTTCTTTAAGAAACATGACATGTTTAAAGGAACAATTGCCTTATATCAAGGTCACACTGAACATAAATTGTCCATTAATTGGGTAGATTCTGCTGAATGTGGCTATCATATTTGTTAGAAACTGGTGGAAATTAATTTGGGGCCCAGTCCTATACATCTTTACACAGAAAACAGTTCTCCAGCTCACAGCATTCCCCAGCCATCAACCTTTAACCTAAGCAGTAAGAACTTATGTTACACTATTATAGAAGCAGGAATGGGGAACTACTATTATGTTACAGTTTCTGATTCTGGAAATTGATTAAAAACAGTTTTTATTTCAGACCCCTTTGGCAATTCCTGAAAAACTTTTTTTTTATTAAGTCATTCACATTTTGCATGCCCCCTCCCCTCTCTCTCTCTCACACACACATGTGGCCTTGCATTGCAGATTCAGGGTGATAAATGTTGGTAATACAATCTTTGAGTGTGATGAGTTTCTCTCTTTAATTCTAATTCCCTCCTTTCTAAATGCAGGTGAAAGATAATTTTAAGGAAAATGTTTTGTGTACCCAGGCTGCAGAGCTGGAGGATAGATAAGAGGAATTGCTGTACTGTTGTAACTTCCTTTGCTATGAAATAAATCAAGATGGGATACAAATGCACAATAAAATGCTTTCTCCAAAAAAAAAGACTTGATCAAAGGAAAGTTTAATTAAGTTGTCTGTCTTTTTATTTATACTTTATAGGGTTTTAGAAAACAAGATGTTAAACCATGTAATCTCCTTAGTCCATACTCTGTGGTTAACCAATTTAGGAGATAAGCAAAAGGCACTTGGAATATCTTGCAAGGAGGAGCTACAAGAGAATCAGAAATTCCTTCCTCTCCAGCTTGTTAGTGAATTTCTCCATATTTTGATAACGCTTCTTAAACACATTCGGTAAGTAGTTTTTTCCTCTTTTTTCAAGGGCATCATGTACTTGTATTGCTTTTTAGCATTAAGTTTCATTAAATGTTTTCATTTTGTCATGAATGTTTGCTATCCCTGCAAGTTAATCTTTTGGGTTTAACTATGAATAATGGAAATCTTTAAAAATTAGCTTGTTCAGAGAGTTCTGAAATGTATTGGTTGGCTCAAAATAAATTACTGAGGTCCAGGCAGTTTAATGGAATTTCTGCTCAGTGGAAACCTGTCTTTGTTATACTGTGCTTTTTAATATATCATCTATCTTACCTTCTAAAATGTGATCATTCTGGTCTTTTTTTCTGAACAATGACTATGGAGAAAGTTTGCTTAATCTGTTAAGCATTCAGCCATTGTCTTTTCAAAACAATTGAATTATGTATGTATCACCCAGTGCAGTTTTTAAAATATTAAGTTTCTGTGGATTTTTAGAATTCTTGACCGTAGACTAAATTTGGACAACATGACACATGTGTAAGAGTTGAGTGTGAGCTGTTGTTGAATAATGTGTTATAGGTAATTGCTTCATCATGTTGTCTGAAACCAGCTTTGATAACAAACTGGTTTATTCATTTCACACAACCCACATTTCACAACACAGTGAACGCTGGGTTTTCTTAAAGTGTTGTTTGTGGTTAATCATGGTTTGTCTCTGCAGCTGAACTTAGGCACAATGATAAACCTAGTTTAAACAGTAGCCCATGCACTGTACTCGGTCCATGCTCAACCTTGCAGTGTGGGTTACTGTGTTGGTTGAATGCTATCTTAGGGTCAATCATGCCTCAACAATGTCACATTTGGGATTTTTTTCCACTGACAAAACTTCTGTTCATACTAACCCTTCTCTGTTCATATTTTACTTGTTATTTTAGTTTCTTGATTATTCAGAAAACTTAAACCATCAGTAAAACAACATTTTCTTTAATGGTTGTTTACTATGCCCCCCCCACATTGCCAGAAAGCCTGAGAATAATCAGCCTCAGGAAAAAACGACATACATTCAAGACTTGGATAGCATGGCTGGATAGCAGCAGTACATTGTGGATTAGCTATTTGTGCTTAATTAACATATGAATTGTTCTTTCAGGAAATGTTATTCCCACAAAGGCTGCTGTTAGATAACAAATGATAGTCCAGATAAATAGTCTTCCTATTTTTGCTGCAATTCATGTCCCTCATTTTCCTGTTCTGTCTTGGATAAGATTAAAATTAACCATAATTTGCTTCCTAACAGTAGTTATTGAAAAAATAATGAATGTATTTAGCTGAGTACTGTCACAGTATATAAATAGTTTGTCTGTTTGTTCCTCCATTTTCTGACAAATAGAGCCAACTTGGATCCTGTTAAACTGATTCAGTTTTTCAGCACATTAAATTCTGTGTTAGAATACCGTGCTGTGGTTTTTGAGGCCTTCAGAGCAATGAACAGGTTCACCGTGAATGAGCATATCCTTTCAAACAAAGATGTTCTCCTGCTTTTGCACAAGTGGAGTAGAATTGGCAAAGATGAGGAACTTCACAATGATCTACAAACAGTTGCACAACAGTACAAAACTAAAGAATTACTTAGTAAGTGCTCGACACACCATTGGTTTAAAGTAGATTGCTTGTTTCTGCTAAGTTCTAATTTGATTAAGAAAAATACTTTGGGGGGTTTTTAGAAGCCAGATTACTAAACAATAAATATTGGAAAGGAAATAGAAATCAATAAAACAAAATGAAAATTGTGATTTGTCATAAGTGGTACTTCCTTAATAAAACTGGGCACAATAGAAATTTGTCTCATTGATTTCAGAGGCAATGTTAATGTGATTAAGAGTTTCCTGTTGAAATAAGTGGAAATGCTTAAGTGGATCATGCCCATTGTTACCTACATGTTGACATTTCCACCATGTCCCACAGATGCTACATTTGCAAATTCCAACAGGGTTTGTTCTCATGTTGCTGAATTTCAACCACGGAAGTTGACATTATTCAAAGCTCTAAACTGGCACCAGTATTAATATAATGTTCCCAAAGTCATATTCCATTTTGCCTGTTCAGCCATGATAGAACTTTAAACCCTATGAAGAAGTATCTCCTCCTTAATTTGTGGTCAGGAAGTAACTTGGAGTGCTCCACATTCAATCTCCAATTATTCTCTGACTGCAGCTTCAGATTTTTGAAGAATCCCCTTTCATCCCATATTATTGTCCAGCGGTAAACTCCACTGAACTTGGCATATGCTTTTTATATAAAATAAAGCAAGCGAGGATGGTAAATCTTGCCATTGCTTATCTTCAGTTTGCCAGGATCAGCTTAAGAAAAGGAGTTCCTAATGAATCATTTCCCTTTGCCTGAGGCTTGGTAGGGGAGAAATGATTGAGGAAGAACTGTGGGGAAGCTAACACCTTTTTAGAGTTGAATCAGCATATAAAACAGCACTAGGACAGCACTAAATCACACTAAATCAAACAAAGCTTTCTCATTCCTTTTTTAAAGGAATACTTGAGTAACATTGGATACATTATTTCTGCTGTTGTTGATTCCATAATAACATTTGGGTTGAATAATACCTGCTGAATCCCAATGATTTCAAGATAGAAGTTAGTTGATATTTGTGCTCAACTTAGTCTGTTGGGATTTGGTTTGAATATTTAACCTATGTTGTAGATTATAACTCAATTTGTCAACATCGCTCTGTTTTTCTCTGCCTGACCACCAACTTTTTAATGATTGATTTATTGCCATACTCACAAAAAACAGCAATTTGCTTTGTTTCATTATCCATTTTTATCGCTTTCTTCTACAGAAAATATTAAAGAAAAAAACAAATCACAAATACCTTTTCGACCATCATCCCGACCTGTTCAGAAAAGGAATGAAATTGAAACGGAGACAGAAACAGCCTCTGAATGGACAGATGTTTACTTAGGGGAATGCAGATCTGTTCTGAGATCTTTACTTGTCCACTGGGAACCTTGCTTTCTAAATGTGCCAGCAGAGCATCAAAAAGAGCAGAATGGATATGGGGATCCTAGACTTACATCTGAAATTGCTTATTTAGTTTTCAGGTGGCTTGTGAAGTCCCATATTGACAACAGTGCCAACATACAAAGTGCACTTTTGACTTTCAGGTGGTTTAAAAAGAATGTTTTGGGAAACAGCACAGTGGAAGAGAAGATTCTTAAAGATGCCACACTGAAAAGTGGCATGTTTAAGGTTTACAGTAGCATTTATAATGCCAGTGAAGAGAAGACTGTAGGACTGAGTGATCTTTCTTTGCTTAATGGAATCATGCTTCATCTGCTAGCTTCTCAGAACTTGACAAAAAATGTTTTCTATATGACTGTGAAGAAGTTCTGCCTCTCTCCAATGACAGAGGAAGATAGAACGAAGAAAGGTAAATTCTTTTCATTTTCATTTGGGGGATGGGGGGAAGCATACACTTTCCTATACTTTTTTTCTTTCTATCCCATAAAAGTATATTGAAACCCACCCTTACTGTAATATAGCACTTATTGAAGATAGTAATATATTCACTGCTAGTTTAGAATGTGATATTCTAGTGACATTAACAATTGGTTGAAAAATTAAATAAGCTGAGCTTGCTTAATATTTTCAGGGAAAAACAATGTTTAATAACAGCAACAACAAATGTTTACACTTCTGACATAGCATTTTTGAAAAGAAAGCTCAAGTAGAAGGCAGGAGAGGGGGAATTGACTTAGGGTTAGAAAAGGGTTTCCCCTAATTTAATACCAAATTTTCCGTTCCAAAAGACCCCCATGAAACCCTTGACTTTTAAACTATGTAGGGTGAATGAATCAATGTGTAAAAATTGGTATTCACAATCAATAATTTTCCATTCTTATTTCCTAGCTGCAGGCATATTCCTTACTTCCATTTATATTGGAGACATTTGGCTGGGAGCAAAGCAACCAGATACATTTATAACACATGTTAAACTGATATGTGGAGCAGCAGATAGAAAGCAAATTGGTGATCAAAAGAAGGGAAAATGTGAAGAAGCTATGATTTCTCTATGTAAAGACATTTATGCATTCTTAATTCTTCACCCTGCCTTTGAGTATTAAAACACCAAGTATGTGCCATGCTCTCTATACTATTTAAAATATACTCTGTAATTATCTACAGGGAATTATTTTGGTATTCATAATTTGGGTTTTGTAAATAAGCAACATTAAAATGGTGTCATTTGTAAAACCTGGTATTTGAATAAATATTTTGTTTTTTTCAGAGGTGGTCAAAACTGTAGATTTATTTGTAGCTTTTAGATCTATTTTTATATTTTGGATTTTAAGATTTATTTTGATACAAATAGTAAAATGTTAGAAAAGCACCAAAACATCTGACTTAAACCTAAATTGTTGGTTAAATTATTTTGCTGCGAAGGAAAAGCATGGCATGGAGTAATGCCGCCTTTCCCAACCTGGTGTCCTCAAGATGCATTGGATTACAAATCTCATGTTAAGCCAGGTTTTCCTGGACAATGGGGGAAAAAGATACTTTGACAAGAGCTTCCCTTGCATTTAAGATGTGGGCAGGCTGGTATTGGGAGAGGTATTGTTTTGGGTATTTAGGTCCCAAACCATTTAGGACTTTAAAGGTACATTCCAGCATCATGAATAGTGCCTAGAAGTAAATAAGCAACCAGTGCAGATCATCGGACCACACAGTTAATATCCTAGCCATTGTGTTTTGCACTAGATGAAGCTTCCAGATCATCTTTAAGGTCCCCACCATGTTCAGTGCATTACAGTAGTCCAGTCGGGAATCTGCCACACTGTGTCACCGTGGCCAGACTTTTCCTGTCTAGAAACAGTTATTTGTGGTGAAGTACAGCGGAAGCTCATAAGAGGCACTCAGAAACACCAGGATCATCTAGGCCTGTAGTGACAAGGCTGGGTCCAAGAATATCCCTGCTCTTTCACCCGCTGCCCAGCAATGAGGACCACAAAACGACAGTGCGCCCATCTTGCTGAAATTCAGTTTTGGTTTGGATCAAACAGTTTACATTGAATTTTAACCTCATAGAAGTAAAGGAAGTTTTATCATTAACATGAAAAAAGTCCTTGGTATGGGTAGTATAATAAAATAAACCTAGTTCATTCAGTCATAATGGAAATGAATCAGGTGAGCTTGGGTGAGATCACTTGCTAATGAATTGTGCAAAGGGTTATACAATTACAAGCTCCATGGAAAACAATTAAAACTAGGTTAGAGTTGAACCAAGCCTACATGCAAAAAAACCCTCTAATATTTTAAAACATGATGTGGCTCAATTACATTTAATGGCTTTAAGAATGTAACATTGACCTTGCACAGATATGCATTTTATACATTCAGTACAGTACGATATATTAGCATAACAGAAAATAATGGCTAAGGGTGCAACCCCATACATGTCTGAAAAGAAAATAGCATTCTGGGAAGCGTAATCCTTTTTTCTGCCTAAGCATGCATTGGACAGTGCCCTAAATTGGTTGTTGCACCTTGCCTACAAATGCAGTGATATCATTAAACTTCAACTATACTGTGGAACTTTTATTTATACCACAGTATTATCCTGCTTCAGTGGGTTTACAAGCTAAAGTTACATGTTGAGGGAAATATCAAACCCACACACAGAAAAAAAACATTTTGTACATATGAAGTTCTTAATATCAGCTTCAGCATATTGGCAGTAGGTATATCATGCAACAACAAAATTTTCTCAAGTACTGGAGTGACATTCTTCATCCAATGCTAGGAATTAGATTTTGAAAATAAATTAGACAGCAACACAATCAAATATTAACCAGCTGCTCTGCCATAGCCATTTACATTATACAAAATTGTATAGTGAATCATCTGTAAAACACTATAGCAATCATAGTTTATAGCTATGTAAGATTTCTGTATTCTTCTGTAAGGAATTAATGCCTGATCTTTCACATACATATTTTGATAGTTTGTTTCAGAATTAATCCTTAAAATACTAATGTACCTATATATTATACTTGAGGAAATTATTTGATTATATTCATGTAACAACTTTTTATCAAGTGTTATAAACTTGTTTGATCTAGTCCTACCCCATGGCAATTTATTCCTTTATAACTTAAAGTGGATTACATATTTCAATTTTGATAAAGCTTCAGACTGTATTGTTCAGATCATGACCTGGTGATCTACTATTTGAACAGATCCCTTCTTTTTCTTCAACTTGATTATCTATAGAAGTTGGTATAGCATGGTTAGATACAACAGTCTCCTGAACTGTTTTTGAATAATTCCAAGGAAACCTTTTCTGTGGTCCTCCATTCCTGTAAACAAACAGAGTTGCTAAATTACTGGGTTTAAGAACTATATTCCCGTAAAATATCAGGTTATACAGGACAAGATCTATAATTACTGTTAACCCACTTATTTGTCTTTATTTGCTACAATTTATTCCATTCTACTTATCCCAATTCTCCCAAGAAGTTCAAAACATGGTCCTCCCCTCGGATTATCCTCTCAGGCAGGTTGGGGTGACAGTTGTGGATAAATATGAACCTATGCCTCCCCAGTTTTAGTCTGGTAGTCATACAGCCTCTCCTACAATGAACACCTGCAAAGAATGTGCATTTTCTAGGGTAAGCTGTCATGATAGGTAGCAGGCCATATCAACTCCTTATGCAAACTGATTGTGTGCCTTAGAAAGTTTGTCCTATGCAGAAATTCTTCACTAAACAATTTGATGTAGAAACACTGGCCCCCACCAAGCATGTACATTTTGAACAACATGATCCCTATTATGCAAGAAAATTGTTTATAGTCAGTGGTTAGCCAGTGGTTAGACTGTAAGACTAGAACTAGGGATATCTTGGATTCTAGTTTCTGCTTTGCTAAGAAGCTCACTTGCTGACTTTGAACTAGTCACTGACTCTCAGCCTAGCCTACCTCATCAGGTTGTCCTGTGGATAAAATGGAGAGGGAGATTATGTAAGCTTCTTTGGGACTTTTCAAAAAGGTGGGACATAAATATAGTAAGTAAAAGAAATTGTCTCTCAATCTGTAAATGGGTTTTGTTTCAGTAAATGCAGTTGCTCATGACTAATATAAATCCCATTGATTTCAGTGGATCTATTGTATGACAAAGTCGATCTAAGCAACTCCTTTTTTCTACACACGCTTTCATTTTAAATTTCTATATTAAAGGAAGTTCAGGGGATATCTATTAATAGCTCTCTTGTGGTCCATTGCTCTGACTTCCTGAGTTACAGTCTAACTTTAAAGACCATGCTACTATATGCTGAAATACAGTGGAAAAGAGACTGCTGGGAATTAATTTTGAACCCCTCAAAGTCTAGAAGGTTAGACACTGGCTTTGTTTGGATGATCATTCCACCGTTCAGCCAAGGACTCTTGCCATTACACCAATATTCCTTCAGACATATACCCTTAGGCCTTTTTTTAACCTGCAGAGCTGAAAGCACATTACTTACTTCACAGGTGAAGAACCAGACTGAGATATGTAGAACAAAATAAAGAAGAGAAAAGCCACAAAAGAAGCAAGACCAGTCCAAAAGGCTATGACAATTGAATCTGTTGAAAGAAATATGATTAGCTTAGGATCTGGCTATCTTAGCAGCATTTAGTACACATTTTCTTACAAAGTAATGTTCTACCTAATAAAGAATGTTTTTTCTAATATCTAGAAAATTGAGATGCCATGACTCAAAATGCAGAGCTCCAGGAGACTGTTCCCTTTCCCAATTTCTAAAACAAGCATTTCTGCATTTTACTATATTTCTGCAATTCATTATTTGTTGCTGTTAGTTGCGAAGTCATGTCCATCCCATTGCGACCCCATGGACAACATTCCTCCAGGCCTTCCTGTCCTCCACCATCCCCAGGAGTCCACTTAAGCTCACGCCAACTGCTTCAGTGACTCCATCTAGCCACCTCATTCTCTGCCGTCCCCTTCTTCTTTTGCCATCAATTGTTCCCAGCATTAGGCTCTTCTCCAGGGAGTCCTTCCTTCTCATTAGGTGGCCAAAGTATTTGAGTTTCATCTTCAGTATCTGGCCTTCTAAAGAGCAATCAGGGTTGATCTCTAAGACTGACTGGTTTGATCTCCATGCTGTCCAAGGGACTCGCAGGAGTCTCCTCCAGCACCACAATTCAAAGGCTTCAATTCTTCGGCGCTCAGCCTTCTTTATGGTCCAGCTTTCACAGCCGTACGTTGCAACTGGGAAAACCATAGCCTTGCCTATACGCACCTTATGGAAGAATACAATTTTTCCCTGATAAACAACAAGGGTCAGTCATTTAGGGTTCTATCAGAAAGAGATAAGAGAATTGAAAATATAAAATAAACCTCTACCAAGAAGGTCAGAATGTATAAAAGATAAGCCTGGAGCCAGCTGTTTTGACACCAGAAGTGTAGGTTAAGTACAAAAGTAACAGAATGTTTTCTGCATGCTGTTTTTTCTACATCTAATCATTGCAAAGAGCTAAACATAAAAAACACTGTGCCTGATGGCTGTGGCAGCTGGTCTTGACTGCAGATGGACTCACTCTCTTGTGAGTGTGTACCTACAATAGTCATATTTTATAAAATTATTTTCTGGTGTTGCCTGTCTCTCATGGTCAGACAACAAGCGAGGGACTTTCTAAATCCTCAATGAATTTGATGACTCCATGGGACTTGTCTGACTCTCCAGCCATGGATTTGGCTTTGAAGCAATGCAATGTGCATCCTTCATTTAAGGAAGCCTTGCCTGGCAGCCAGGACCCTGTGCTGATGATAAGGTTTTGTCCATGGGACCAGCTCTTGCCTAGGGGAAAAAAACCTAAATCCATGGACATCACCAACCATTTGAGTAGACTGGTAAATGTCTCAGTGTCTGCTTGTCTGTTCTATGTATCTGCATGTGCTATGTATGTTCTGCATATGCGCCTACAATAGTCTTTTTTTAGTAAAATTACTTGCTGGTGTTGCCTGTCTCTTGCAGTTCTTTATTTTCAACATTATCATTGGTTGTCTTATGTTCTTGGGTCAGTGGCCTATATCAATCCATACTATATTTAATCTGATAGAGTATCAGTAAATAATAATTACCATAGCACATAGATGCATTGAACATACGTGGTCTATATTCTCTTTTTAAATGCAACACTTAGTCCACATGTGATTCGGTACAATGCTTTGGTACAACTGTAATTTAAGTATTACAGGTGATAAACATTTTGTAATAAAAAAGAACAGG